AGGAACTTAGAAATTAGTAAATCCTGAACAGGATTATTTCCTACACTTTAAGACTTTAATAGATTTTGATTACACTTGATTAGTAAATAATAACATTTTTTTTTAGAAATTTCTAATTTAGAATTTAGCAATTTTTAATTTTTTTGGGAATTTCTCAATAAATTTTTGTCACGAATACTCCTCTGGTCATATTTACAGAGCAAAAAAAGAAGATTTTTTTTCATATTTATAGAATATTGAGAGAAATTTTTTATATCAGTGTACAATTTTATTTTTCATTTATTATTGTGTTGACTTTAATTACATGAGATATAATGTATATTAAATATGAACAAAATTAAAAATTTAATAAATTTTAAATTAAAATTAATAAAATTTAAAATTTTTTTGATATGTGTAAAATATGTTAAAAGTAACTTATAAATAAAATAAAAAGAGTATTATTTAAAAATACCCGGCACGCATTAAAAAACTAACGCTGGAGCGATGGGGACAATGACAACTAGAGCTGGGAATCAGGGCCGGCCCTTCAGGGCTGGCGGGTTTAAAAGGGCCGGCCCTCCAGGGCTGGAATTTTAAAAATACCCCAATTTGTTAGGCCCGGCCCTTAAGCTACAGGGCCAGGGCCAGGGCCGGCCCGTGGGCTTTTGGCCCGTTTAAGAAAAAATACTATTTTTTATATTTATCATATTTTTTATAAAAATAAATCAATGAATTATTAATAAAAGACATAAATATGAATAAAATTAAGTCACATATAAAATATCATCATATATAAATATTCATCAACATCTAAAACATTCATTAACAAGATAACAACATCTAAAAGTTTTATCTATAATGCAATTGTGCAATAAATAAACACTATTATTAATCTTTTGAAACTTCATCATCACTATAATTAATTACTTTTCTTCATAAGTATACTTTTCTTTCGTAACAAAAATATCAAGTTTTTCTTCTTTATAAGAATTTTATTTTTAAATTTTGCAATCTAACTATTTTTTTACTTTAATGTGAGAAACATTGCTGTTAAAACTCATGAATTTCTAATTCAAATTATAGAATCACAAGTTATATAAGTATAAAAATATTCTATTATCAAATGTATATATAGTTTAAAAATATCAACGCATATAATATAAATCAAATCATTATTAAAGTCCAAATTAACCCATTTTTTAAAAATTTAATTGGATAAATTATTATCTAAAACTAAATTTACTTTTAAAATGATAATAATAACTAAATATTTGAAATATTATTAACAATGTAAAAAATTAATAACATTAATATTATATAAAAAAATTTTAAAAATAAAAAAAATATAAAAGGGCTTAAAAGGACCGGCCCTTTTAAGCCCTCGGCCCTCCAGGGCCAGCCCTCCAGGGCTTATGTTTCATTTTAAAAGAAAAATATCAAGCTCGGCTCTCATAATTTCAGGGCCTAAAAGGACGGGCTCGGCCCGTTTGACAACAGTGCTGTTAGGCTTAGGTATGAGGTTAGTGGAACTTTTTAATCGACGAGAATGAACCCACCATGCACTGCCTCTCCTTTTAATGACACCAACTTTGTCAGGTTTATGAGCCCTTTTTTATTTTCATTTTATTATTTTTTTAAATAACTTTTGAAAAGCAACGTGGCATTCATAAAAAAGCCGGGCCTCCAATTTTTAACTTTATCCTTTAGTTTGCTCACATCGATTGGAATTTATGCACCACAAAACAAATTCTCTGTTAAATCCCCTCACCTGATATTACGTAGTATTAGAGTGAGTTTGTCGTGTTGGGTAAAAAAATAACGATCGGCTCAGCTAAACTATTGCGTGTGCGTGGCCCCGTTTAAGCCAAAAGGACAGTGCTTTTAATGCACATTCTGTTAATTGAAAAGTTAGGATAAGAGTTTGATTGAAATGGTTTATAAACAGTATTTTAATCAGATAAATATATGAAGAAAATTTTGTTTTGACTTAGTGTTTATAAACACTTATAAATCGCTAATCCAAACAGGTCCTAGATCATGTCAAATAATTTAACAAAACTTCAAAAGAAGGGAAAGACTGATGAATCATAAAACAGACCCCCCGGCACAACATTTTTATGGAAAGGAAATTAACTTTTACTTTTGTTTTTGTTATGTGTTCTGAAATATATAAAGAAATCAATTTTTTTCCAAAAAAAAATCAGAATATTTTTGGTTATATTTTATTCTTCAAAATTAGACGACGTGTAGTGAATGCCACGTTTTTATTAATGACAGTTCCATTAATAAAGCAAACCATTTTCTAATCATTTACCTCATTATTTTGGATATGTTTTTTCAAAACCATAATTCAAACAGATTCTTTTTTAATTTTTTGTTTTCAAAACTTATTCTTGAAAATTACTCCACAGAATTGTTTTAAGAACATAAAAAATATATAGTAGAATTAAACATGCCTCTATTTTCCCCTCTCTTTTTTCCTTTTTTATCTTTTAAACTTTTCCAAAAGTTGCATCGGATGATTTATCTAATACTCCTCCAGTCCTTAATATAGGACCTAACTGTTAAATTGTTTTTAGTCCTAAATATAAGATTCATTTCTCATATTTATTAATTTTCTCTAAATTACTCTTATGGATACTTCCTCAACCATAATCAAGTAAAAGAAGGAGATATGGTATTAAAAAGGATGATTATGGTATTTTAGAAAAAATGTGTCATATTTTTTAAAATTAACTAACTTATCAAATTTTTTTAATATAATAAAATTAGTTAAATGAGTTTTCCATTAAAGGCCAGAGGAGTACATATTTCAAAGTGGACCGTAATTTGCTTTCTCTAGATATGCGACAAAGTTTTTTTTTTTTAAAAGGAAAAAAAGTGAGTGGTAATATTATTTGAGGATGAGTGCTGATTGAGGGCAGGGATTGATTCATTGACCTTTCTTATAGTACACGGTAACAAATATACAGTCAAATGTGCGACTATGCGTTAATAAACTTTCCAACAAAAAAGGTCTCAGTAAAATTCTGATTCAAATTTGATTTCGGTAATTACGTGGATCCCTTCATTAATCAAGAGCTGGAGGGAAAGTGCTTGTACTGGCAACAGGGGGAAAAAAACGAAAAGGCAGAAGTGTTATTTTCAAGAAATTTAGGTGAGAGGCATGTGTTTTGAGTAAATTAAGAAGAATCTTGCCTGAAAACTCTGCCATTAATAAAATTTTTACAATACAGAAAGTGAGACAGGCAGCAAGAGGCAGCAGAACATGCAGCCAATCCAAATAAACCATATTAATTTCCCTCCCTCCTTAAATAAAAATTATATATAATATAAAATATTTCACTTGGCAGGATCATGTAAATTTAGAGTAAATACAAGGTTTAATTACAAGAAAAATGACATAAAAATACACGTTGAGTTTTAAAATGATAAATGAGTGATTTTGACATATTTTGACTTATCAAAACTTTTACAATAATAGTTAAAATTATCAAAAAAAAGTACTTATATTGCTTAATAGAAGACCTAATTGTTAAGTCAATTCTAATTCTAAATATAAGACTCATTTGTCATATTTATCAATTTTTCTTAAATTATCCCTATAGATACTCTCTCAACCATAATTAAGGAAGTGAGAGAAGGAGGATATCAAGAAAAATGATTATGGTGCTTTAGGAAAAACATGTCATATTTTTATAATTAACTAACTTATCTAACTTCCTTAATCTAATCAAAATACTCCTCCGGTCCTAATTATAAGACCCAATTGACTTATTTGAGGAGATTAAGGAAGTAAGTTAAGTTGGTTATTTATAATAAATAAGTGTTGTTATTCTTAAAATATCCTTGCTAATTAAGTATATTGGCTAAAACTATCATTATTAGAAGGATTATCTTGGAAAAAAATACATAAATATAAGAGAGAAAATAGATTGGGTCTTATAATTAGGACCAAATAAAAAGTCAAATTGGGTCTTATAATAAGGACCGGAGGAGTAGTTAAATACTTTTCTGATCCTTAATATAAGACCCATTTAACTAATTTGATTAGATTAAAAAAGTTAGGTAAGTTAGTTAATTATAAGAAAAGTGACACATTTTTCCTAAAACACCATAATCATCTTTCTTAATACTCCATCTCCTTCTTCTACTTGATTATGATTGAGAGAGCATCCATAGAGATAATTTAGAGAAAATTTATAAATATAAGAAATGAGTCTTATGTTTAGGACCAAAACCAACTCAAGAATTAGATCTTATATTAAAGACCAGAAGAGTAGGTTTTATATTAAGGACTAGAGGGTATCTTTTTAAAATTTAACAAGTATTTTTTTTTAATCAATTTTTTCATAATTTATATTCATTAGCATCCCCATAATGTGCATCTGTCGAGTATATAAAGCGTAAGGGAATGCACAATGCTTTATCGCCACAGATGGAGAAGCTGTTCTTAGGGATTAAACCCGTTTTCTCTTAGATGGCTCTAAGAAGGAACAAATGCATGCAGTTTTATTCTGCATTCAATAATTAATTAAACCTGTAACCTTCACATGAAGTCACATGGGAGCAATTTTTATGCCTGCTTAAAAGCTCGCCCTCTGTATATTTCTGTGTGTCCTACCTAAAAAGATTCACAATTCACAATTGAGATGGAATCACAATGTAATGTATTGGATCTCATATCTGATATCATATATTCAGATATGATTGCTCCCAGCTTTCACCGTTCATAATTCCCAAAAGTACACTGGAAAAAGAGAAAGCTGAATCATTTCCCCATTTTCACTTTCTCATCTTGGATCTTCACTCTCACTCTCATCGCCATCTCTAATGCCCATCCTATGCCCCCGCGCCTCACCCCTCTCATTCTCTAATTATTGCCTCCGATCCCTTTCTTATCTCACTCCTCACTCCTTCTCTTAATTCTCACTACTTATCTCTCATCCCTCCTCTTTTTTTTTCTTTTTTTTTAATTTGATTAATGATTAAAGATGCCCCCCACCACCACTTTAACGCAGTAAAATACAGCTTCAATTGAAAAGCTATATTTAATATACAAAAAGTATATTAATAAAATCCAGATATGGGACTACAGTTATTTATATGTAAAATTCAAAACAAAACTCTACAGTTTGTCTGTAGATTATACCAGATGCAAATATGGAGAAGGAAGGATGAGAGAGAGGGAGAGAGATCAGTTTCCATGTTTCAGACTTTCAACCTGATTCCCATTATACCCCTGACATTCCTCAAATTTCCCTCATGTTTTTTACATGATAGAGCAAGCATTTGGGTTTTCGTCGCTGAAGATCTGAGGCGGGTAAGCGTACATCTCCATGACGTACCTCGGAGGGTAGTATTGGTATTCGCTCTTCTTCATCTCCACCACCTTCGTCTCTTCCGTCACCGCTTCTTCCTCTGCGTTCGCCGCCGCTTCCCCCTCCCCTTCTTTCTTCTCCTCCTTCTCCTTCTTCTCTTCTCCTTTCCCTTCTTCCTCCTTCTTCTCTTTCTCTCCTCCTTCCCCTGCTTTCTTCTCCTCTTCCGCCTTACCTTCCTGTGTTTTCTCTTTCTTCCCCGCCGCTTCTTGCTTCACTATGACAGCTTGCTTCCCTGTTCGCTTCCGCACGAACTCCACTAACTTCGCCGGATCAAACACCCCCTTCACGCTCACCTCTGACTTCTTCAGATCCGGTTCAGCTGATTCCACTCCTGAGAATTATTTAGTTGACTTTATTATAATATAATGCACCATTAAAGTTGAGAATGAATCGGATTTCATATTGAATGCCGTATTAAATAGCATAAAAGAAAACAAAAGGTCATGAGTATTATATTTTAATGTGAGAAAAGAAACGGCGAAGAAGGCTTGAATTGCATGAAGCTCAAGTGTCTGTATTTGGAGGGAGTTGCAGAAAACGTGTAACGCACCCTTCATTTTCAGTATGCGCCTCTTGATTTCCTGAGCGCAAGCCTCGCAATGCATGTGAACTTTCAGAATCACTGTGATAATCTGGGGCTGTCAAATAAAAAAACATGAAATCAGAATAAACGTTGAGAAATTACTTCGCAATTATTGTTCTGACAAAAGAAGAAGAAGAATCTAGTCCAACCTCTTCTTTCTTCTCCTCAGGAGCGGGCTTTTCTTTCTCCTCTGGTTTTTTCTCCTCCTCGGCAGGTGGTTTCGGGATCGGAGAAATGAGCTCGACCTGCCTATGGCTCTTCCTCTGTACTCTCTCTAGAACTTTCAGTGGATCCGCCTTCTCTCCTTTGACGACGACCTTGTGAGTCTTACAATCTGTGATCACTTCTTCAACCCCTGAAGCCAAAAATACATATATCCATGCCAGAATACCAGATAAGGATCTCCTTCAATCAGCCGAATAAGAGTTGCAGCGACGGAGTGATTCAGCTCACCTGGGAATCCTTTCAGGCACCGACGAACCTTGCGTGCACAACCTTCGCAATGCATGAAAACTTTAAGCACAATCTCCGGCGGCGGCGGGGGCGGTGGCGGAGTCTTGTCTTTGGATTCCTCTTCCTTTTTATCTTCACCCTGGTTTTCGGGCTTTTTGGCCTCCTCCTTCGCCTCTGGTTTTTTCTCCTCCGTCTTTTGTTCCTCTGCCTTCTTCTTCTCCTGCACACAGAAAAAATAAGAACCAAAATCCAAAGGGTGAAGAGAAGGGAGCAAAGAAAGGTAATGGGAGAAGAGAAGGATTTATGATTTATTCACCTCCCCCATGAGTGGACTTGATTGAGTTTACGGAAACAGAGAGCTTGGTATAGGTTAGGCTGAGATGTCCGCAAAAATTTGGGATTTTAGCTTAATGTGGGGGGATTGATCTGAGGAAGAAGCATCAGATCTGAAGAGAAGTAGCTGCGTGGGTAGGAGCCATGAATCCAATGTAAGTGGCGTCGAGGCCGGTGACGGTCTCGTGAGAGAGAAGCGGGGGTCTTATAAGGCGGCACGTGCAGCGCAGGAGGGATGTGGTTGGGACACATGGTGCCCGCAGGTTACATTGGGTCTTCACAATTCCCAGGGTTGTTTTCGACATTTCAGGGGGTGATTCCAGTAAACTACTATCTGTTTTACTGTGGGGCCCACTCCCACTATCAGCTCCTACTCAGTGCTCATTCATTTCACAATCCCCCTCTACTCATATTCCTCTTACCCACACACATATAATCCCAACATTTTTTTTTAATATTTTTCTGAAAATAGAAAAAAAAAACAAAACAAAACAAAAGAGTGTATAAATAATTATCAAACATGGTCAAACTTTTTTCTTTTTAACAGGTTCTCAATCTCACTTTTTTAATTCCCGCTTTTTATTCTCTATTATGGTGATATATTGTATATACAAAACTCTTTTTCAAAATTCTTGTCAAAAAAGTTCTCTTGCTTTTTCTGCGAGGATGATTATTAAAGATCAAAGGAGGAGATGATACCAATAAAAGGCCAATAAATTTCGGTTAACCTCGAATTCCAGAGCAAAATTAATAAAAAAATTATTTAAGTTAAGTTCTTTATATTTATTATGTCAATTTTTTTGATCGTGACTATTTTTATGTGAATTTATAATCAAATGATAATAATTTAAAAACAAAATATATGAATATAGAAAAACTTAATTTATCTGAGTATGGTGCAAATAATAATAAACTAGCCTCACCCCAAAATTAATGCATTCAAACTCACATTAACAATCCAGTAAACAGTTACGATGATAGATGCATGCATATTTTGTGTGGTCAAATTCATTGGCTTGTTTTCCTTTTTTGTTGTGATGGTTTTAATGAAAGTGCGAATCAATGTCCAAAAAGAACGAAAGTACGAAGACCAGCTGAACTAAATATTAAAACAAATTTTCAAGTCAAAAAAAAAAATGAAGCAATTTTGAGCAGCTTCATATTGAAGTGTTTGTGGTGGTTCCAACAAGAAGGTATGTGAAAACGAGATTTGTTTAGTGGATTTTTTATGTCGTTTTTTTTTTGGTATTACTATTTGCTTAATATTAATTTCAATTTCCAATAGAATAATGTTATGGAAATCCATATTTTTGTTCCCTGTATTTTGTCATTACCATTTACCACTCTAACCGCTAGACGCACACTCCTCCTCCTTTCAGTAAGTTGCACGTAATTAAATCACATAAATTAAGAAGTTAGTTAAGATTAATTAAAGGTAATAATGAATATACAAGAATTTTATTTTTCTTCAATGATACCCTTTGTTGGTTGAGGGTGAGTAAAAAAAAAAAAAAAAAAAACAGAGGGAGAAGCTTGTATCTATCATTAGGCTCCAAATATTTTGTAATTAAAATATGAGTTTTCTTACATCTTACTTTCCCAAGTTATGAGATGGAAGGTTAATGGTCAGTTTTGGAATATATAAATTGGAAATTCCTTGAGGATGATGAGGTGTGAATGTGAGTTACTCAAAGATATGTTATAATTAAATTCTGAGAAGATGAGTTGTAAACTCTTGAAAAATGAATTATAAATTCCTGGCTAATAATGTGTAAATTCCTAAAAGATCACCTGCTTTAGTAGTGGTCCAAAATAATGCAAACCACTTGGTCTTTTGGTCATTAAATGCTTTTTTTCCTTGGAATACAAATCACAATATGAGAGAGAAATTTGAGCTTTTCAAGGAAGAATTCCCACAATTAATTAAGCGTAAGCATGAGAAAGCCTATGCCCTATTGTGCTGCACATTCAATGAATTTAACTAGTACCTTTAATCAGTTTTATTAATTTATACAGAGAATGTACTGGTACATCATGTTGTTTTTTCAGACAAAAAAAAAACTTCATGTTGTTGGCAAAAAAAAAAAGTTAATACTGGATATTTGAAGCCAAAGATATTATTCCTCTGGTACAAACTCCTGAAAGACTAATTACAAATAAATTAATATTATTGAAATATAGAAAGTTGCATTACAAATAAATTAATATTATTGAAATATAGAAAGTTGCAACATCAATAAAAAATTTCAAAAGTTTGGCAAAAAAATAATAAAGATTTCAAAAGATTTGTGGTAAATCCCTAAAAATAAGTTGTAAAGTGTTGGAAGTTAAAATGTAAATTCCTGAAATATGAGTTGTTGTTTTCTAGAAATAAGTCATTAACTACTAGAAAATGAATTATAAATTCTTGAAAGATGATTTGTAAATTTCTAAAAGATAAATGACCCATTCTCACAAGTTACATTGTAGCTAAAGCAACACGCATATACTATACATGTTTTCTGGTAAATTCTCATGCAAATATCAAGTCTATTTTTTTAAGAAAAATGAAAAGTCATACAATTTTCACAGCAATATATTTATAATTAAGGCAGTAAATTCCCTTATACACTAAATAAACCATACATCGTGCCCCACAAGAGCAAAAGAGTGTGTTATATTTGGTTAATTATTTTAATATTGTATGGTTTATATATGATTGGCCGCACGTAAACAAGTTAAATATCTACTAACTAGCCCAGATGGCATTAAACGGGAAGGGATGAGGAAAAATCTAAAAGAAGAACAAAAGAAAAGTAACGAGATATTGATTAATTGTAAACATGATGAAAATCTCAATCTATGAAGCATTGTCGTGTAAGTGGTTGGAAGGAGGAAAGGGTAATATGAAATTTTCTGGAGCTTAATTATCTGTCAATAAATGTTATGATTACCAACTACGTACTACGTAATGAAATGGTATTTTCAGTAAATTATTATTAATTAGAACTAAGGAGATAATGATTTTTTAATTATATCCTTATATAAATCCACTGCAATAAGTAGTACCTCATATGATCCCTTATATGCCAAAATTTTCCCTCTAGTTGACTTATAAAAAGGATTGGAGAGAGTATCAAGATGTTAAAAATGGCCTCCATATTTTTTTGCGAGTTGACATCTTTAATTCATGAAATTCAATAACGCTACTTAACTAATTTAAACATATTAAGGAGTTTTATTAAATTATTCATTTGTAACAAATATAAGTTATATTTTTTAAAAATATCCTTTTAACCATGCTTACTATTGAATGGAAACTCTCTTAATCTTAATATGTATAATTAATATAGAGACTTTAGAAAATAAATTATAAATTTGAGAGATAAAATAAATTAAAATCTCATATTTAAGACTAAATATAATTATTGATTAGTTTTTATATTAAATATTAGATGTAATGTGTGTGTGTATATGTGATAAGATATACACACACTTTATGCATATCTTTATCAAAAAGTTAAATGTATCATTGTTGAACTTTACGAACTTCATAAATGCCAACCTTAGAAAAATCAGCATCCTAACGTGGGAAAAAAAAAATCACAGCGATGTTTCATTATTTTGAGCATATGGGCAAGCGGAAAGCAGCCAGTAAGATAACAGAGTTCAACCTGCACGATGATAATGCATTCACTGCCTCACTTTCCTCATTTTTTTTTCAATTCTTTATTATAAGTATTTCTGGATTTATTTTGAAACAATATATTTATATTCAATTTTACATTTTGTGTTGTCCCTTGCACCCAAATTGTAGAATGCAAAACATTGTTTTTTATTGGGAGTGACAAGCGGATCTTTTTCATCACATGCAGCGAACCATGCACCCTTGTAATTGTTTATGCGGGTTTGCAGTGCAAGGAGCAAGGGCAAAAGAGTCAAAATGAGAAGCAGAGGAGAAAGAAAGCCATATTCCGAGGAAAGGGAACTGCACAAGGGGAAGGAAAGTGAAGGGATTAGGTTGATTGGGTGGGTACAAAGCAGCATAAAATTGGAATACAGGTGTGCACATGCCATGTTTGGGTGGTATTGTAAATGCGGCGAGACTCGTTCATTTTGATTTTATAACCGTGTAAGCTGAAAATTGGAAAAAGCAGTACTCCGGGTGGGCCCAACTAACAAGGGCCGCAGGATAAGTAGGCCCCACTCCCAGAGGCAGGCCCCACTGCGGCCTTATCTCGTTTGTTATCCTTGATCACATCATATCATATCCCTGACCCCGTGACCCCCCCTCCTTTCTTCCATCACATCACCTCCATACGACCTGACCCACCCCTTCCTTCCCCCCCAATCGGACGCTCCATATTTTTTCTTTCTCCTCTTTCTCTAACACGACAATTCACATAACTATTTCTTTCCATCTTGTCCGTGGAAAATTTACGTTAATTAATCATGGAATCTCCATAATTTAATTTATTTTACATTTTAAAAAAATTCATACTACCTCCGGTCCTTAATATAAGACTCTGTTTGATTTTTATTTTGATCCTAAATATAAGATCCCAATCCACTTTGTCTCTCATATTTATATTTTTTCCAAAATAGCCCTTCTAATAATAAGAGTTTTAGTCAACACACTTGATTAGCAAGGATATTTTAGGAAAGACAACACTTATTTAGGACAAATAACTAACTCAACTTACTTCTTTAATCTCTTCAAATTAGTCAACTGGTTCTTATAATTAGAATCAGAGGTAGCATTAAATGAATTATTGTCTTCCTCCCATGCTACCTTAATTCATGTTTGCTGTAATCTTAAATTTGTTTCACACATGATTTGTGGAATCTGGCTAACACATTTTAGTGGTAGTGAAATGACAATTAGGAGGTCTTTTAATAGAAACTATATCATGATTTTAAAACTAATTTTATAGCATACAAAATAAATATGTTAGAAAAATTTTGTCTTGATTTAAGTGAAAATATTTCTTAAAAATGCTTTTGGGTTAAACCAAACACCTCCTTAATAGATATGCATGTGCATGTTCAATGAAAAATTAACATCTTGATGACATATTTGTGACCTTTAATTTTGATCTTATCCACATTGTTCATTATGATACAAAACAAGACAAATTAATTAACTATACCATTTTATTTATCCTCTTTCTTTTAAAAC